AATAATTTACAAGCTAACTTATATAATCAGAATTTTTTTATTTATTTAGAAATTAGCAAAAAAGAGATGAGCTCTGTTTGCTGTAGTCCATATAAATGTTACTTATAAACAGTGATATTATTAGATGTTGAACTCTATTGTTTTTCAGTTACACTTAATGCAGTGAGCTAACATTTTAGCTTTCACTTAGGCTTCAAAGGAGTTAGCCAAATGACTGCTGCAAATAATTGTCAGGAAAGCAGAATTTAATTTCTTTGTATGTATACTGTCATCAAATGTACATCAATGGGAGACAGGGCTGTAAATCTGTGATTGATATTGATTTAAAAAAAATGATGCAACAATATAAAAATAGACAACACATCATGAGATAAATATTAAATACATTATGAAAATGAGAGTCTGTGGCCAAGAAGACTGTAAATTTGGCTTTCATTGCTCAGGCCATCTCTCGGTTGCTCCACCTTGTATGGTTTGCATGCTTTTTTATTTATAAAATGGTAGAATTCAGGTCCTTGAGGCACCCAACGACAAACAAATAGCAGCCCATCCAGCAAGTGCAGCAGAGACCAGTCAGCACAGCCAAACTCCACGACAACAGAGCTCAAACCACATCCTGTCAGAAAGACCCATTAGACTGGGATTGGACGTATTCTCTATAGACATTGGCAATGCTGTCTTCACTTGGTATCCTTAGTTTATGCATTGACTGGGTGTCATATTATTTCTTCAGTGTACACGCCATTAAACAGAGTTAATAGTGTCTCCTTATTTTACGGTGAGTGAACCAGGGCTACTTAACTGGTGGTGACCTCTGTCCAGCCCATGGCTGCGATCATGAAATAAATAAAAAAAACAGAAACAAAACCTCTGTTAAAGATACCCCTAAGCTCCAGGAGATCTGCAGGTGAGTCAGAATATTTCTTTGTTGTCCTCTAGTGGCCAAATATGAATTTAATTTTGTTTTTCTTCAAAACTTAAGTCTTTAAGAATCAATGCCCTAAATATTTGACCATAAGTTGCCAATGTTTAGAGTGCATATAGTGTTATAAGATAACTTTCCATAATATTTCTGTATTTTCTTAAACTTTACCATATATGTGGTTAGCTGTCAATTTGCTGTTAATTTAAGCCAAGTAGGGTTTTGTAATTAAGGACAGAAATATTTATTATTGGAATTGTTTTCTAAAGTGCATTCAATGGCAAATGTATTTTTGGTTGTGCATGCGTAGACACTTTGGGTAGTGACAGAGCCCCCTAAAGTTGAGTAGAAATAGGGGGTATGTTTAATTTCTAACATTATGTTTGTGTAGTCCTGCTTGTATTAAATGGCTTGAAGCCATTTGAAGATTTTAAAAAATCTAAAGAAACTTTACTTTACCAATTACCGGAAAATGCCACACCTTGGGTGAGCTCTATAAATTCCTGGCTATCCCAGTAGGTAAAAGCCAGATTCTTGAAAGCCATTCTTTAGAGTGCAAACATTTGTTTGACCAACCAACAATCCTTTCAATAACTTTCTGACTGTTCATCTGTTTTTCTCCTGCCTTCCTTACTCCTACTGGACACTCATATTGGCTTCTGTTCTTTACACATTGACCTAGTTACTTCCCTCACAACGTAGTTAGCCAGTTAACTGTTAGCCTCTGATCCTGCTTAGCTTGTGTTATGAATCCTGTATGAATCAAGCCTTGATTGTTCCTCCTGACTCTGTCTCTATAGAAAGTTCTGTCCAGTTAGTGTGGCTCCTGTTACCGATTCATTCACGTGAATTCTGGATTATTCTCTCATCTATCCTTTCTGAAAACCTCTGCCCTCTATGCATGACCTCTGACAAGGACTCCTTCACTAACCTTAGCCTCATCTAGCCGGGGCAAAATTTGATCAGTCAATCAGTGATCTGAATCCAGTGGGATCTAGCATCAGAACCTTCAGTTTACCTTTTAAACCTTTCAATCTCTTTACTTATTGTGTTAGCTGAATTATCATGTCTCCAGATTCCGTCCAAGCATTACCCTTATTAATGAATTCTGATTCTTCTACTAAATTGTATTATAGGTGTCATTAGGAACACAATACTTTCTTCTAAACAAAAGGACGTTTTTTACATTTATTTAGACATTTAAAATTCTCTTTAATTCACTCACTCCATCACAGCTCACTCTTTTATACTGCAAATTTATCAGATATCATGAATCAAGTGCTGTTTTATTTACCAACACTTTTAATTGAAGATCATGTACAAAATGTTAGAATTATCCTCCAAATCTTCCAACTCAGTGTAAGAAGATTGAAAGGATCTAAAACTGTCCCAGGAAGAGCACAATTATAAACATATGTCAACAATGTCATGACCAAATTTCCAATGATTCTTCAAATTAAAAGCAATTCATGTTGAATTTATTCCTAAAATAAGTGTCAGCTGATGTTAAGGTACATTTTTTAACTAGAATAGTCTTTTTCTTTTCTTTCACCAAGAAATAATGAATCTATATGATTAATAAACTATTATGTTGTTAATGAACCTGTTGACAATTTTTTTGATTAATAATCGGATTGCAGAAGACTCGTTATGGAAATATTTTCACAGAATCTGAACTGGTTGAAGTTAAGAAGCTCTTGGTTGAGTATATTTACTGACAAAGAAGGTTTTCCTTCTTAAATCCAAAATAAATATTTCTGGTACAGTTTTGGTTTAATCGTTGTTCTGAGTGGGTTATTCTTTCATTAAGTGGCATACTTTAAAATCGGTGAAATGCAATAAACAACAGTTTGATTATTAAATTAGTTGAATATTATTTCAATAATTAACTATCAAAAATGTATTAGATTAATTATTACTGCTTTCAATAAACAGCTCTGAACCATCTCAAAGGATCTGCAAAAACGTTTCTTATGTAGTTGCATTCTGACTCCAGGCAGTGTTCAGAAATGATGTGAAGAACTGAAGGTGAAAGGCTGCAAAGAGAGCAGAAACATGCTGCACAGCTAAAATAAATGGGTACTCTATTTTGGAATCTGAGCCTTGTCTTTCTTTCAACTGTGCTCTCTGATGCTCCTGCTCCTATGCACTCATCTGCAAACTTACATTACCACACATGCAAACTGCTGCATACAAGCTAGCATCAAAAAAAAAAATCCTCTCTAATTGTTTCACATTCTCATACACATGTGTTGAGAGAGGAGAGGCATTTGGGAAACTTTCCTCCAGTATTTCTCTTCATTATTCCTGGAAATCCTCTCATCCCATAGGCTCCACCTCCCTGTCCCTGTATCACCCCTCACATGCATACATATTTCCTGAGCTCCAGCTCTCCTATCGTGTAGTTAACCTTGTCCTGCTTTGTGTCTCTGACACGCAGCATGTGGTGGGAGTGCTAACAGGGGTGTCAGATAGAAGAAAACACTAAGAATTTCTAGACTGAAGTGGTAAATGGAAACAGAATTAGCCTTTATTGGCCAACAGGGGGTCTAGACAAAACAGCTCATTTGTCAAGGTGACCTGATGTGTTCTTCCTCTCACCAGTGATTTGTACATGCCAGGGTTTGTTTACTGAGGGGCTCTCATTAATGAAGAGCGTGTCCCTTTCTCAGCATCTTAGAATCTATCTTTTCACCCATCAATTTCTCCCTTTCTGTGGTGTCTCTATGCTCATCCCAAGTTGCCCAGTTCCCTAAAGGACATCTGATGTTGGTGAGTTGTTGTCAGTTCACCAAAGGGTTTAAGTTGTACAACCGATTTGGAAAACTAAGTGGTGTTACAAAGGGGGATTGAGGAGTGCCTAATCGCTACTACTACATTATAACTATATTTTTGGGTCATATGTAAGTAATCATTTTCAGAGCTTTGTAGAGCATAAATGTTTTATATAAAATCTGGTTTCACAAAGCCATTTAATGTGGTTATTCAGTGCTGTGCTGAATGCATTAGTCTTTCTTTGTTTTTTATTCTTTATATCAGGGGTGGCCATCCACCAAGAGCTGGTGTTCTGCTCATTTAAGTTGTTTCCCTGGTCCAACTAATAAATGGATTAAAGCTGGGATAATTAAAGAGGATTCCTGCACAACCTTATAGCATACTAAGAAGGCAATTCAAGGAGTAAATGAATCCCTTAAATTATTGCACAAATAGCCCTGAACAAGTCTGTCCACTGCTCCCCACTTTGTAAATAAAATGAAAAACGTATATTGCGGCACAGGTGGTGTTACCTCTCAACTGTGCATGTTTATATATTTATTTATGCTATTTTATTTTAGTATTTGGTGCGCAACTGAGATACATAAATGAGATTTTTTTTTAACCTGCTGCTTGCATGCTCCTCTTACAAATGCAGCCCTGGGAGACTGCCCAAATGCCCCGCAAGAAAAAAATAAAAAATGATTGTTATTAACAACTATCTGGTTTCTTATTAAACTTTCTGAATAAATACCTGTTCAAACCTTCAGATCCGCTCTCACCACATCATCACGCACTTTGGTGTTCCCTTTTTAACTCCATCATCCAAAACTCACAATATGCCTTGGCATCTCTCTTGAGAGAAAGCCAAGAAAAGACACACTAACAAGGTTACTTGCCTGGTTGATGATTAATGCATGGAACTACACAGGTCATAAATATAGCCAAATATTAAAGGCTTTGCGCTCTAAATAATTAAAAGAAACCCCAAACGGTGCGATTTGTGGGCGTGTGGAAAACTCATCGCGTGATCGTGCCATGATTTGTCCAAATGACAGATACAGTACTTATTTTGAGTGATTTTTTTTTATATTAAAGCTACTAAATTAGAGCTATTTAGTTAATTGCTTTTTTCCTATTTTTATTTAATTATCTGTTGTTTTTATCTGTAAGAATTCCACATTTCTTGCATTGCTCTGAAAGCAGATGTTGAGCGACAGGAGACTCTGGTGATTTGAAGGCTTGAATACTGACACACTGACCAATAATTGAAAAAAAATACTTTTTAAAGCACGCGGCTGATGATTTATCGCTCTTTTCTTACCGTATATGAGAGATGATGCGCGTTACTGTTCAGTCCTCAGGAATGTAAGGAGAGAGCTTTGCGCCTCAGAGCAGGTGCTCTAACCAAACCCTCCAGGCGGCTGCACAAACCGACGAATCAGGCTGGAAAGCGCACTTTGCAGCTGCAGGAAAAACCGTGCTGAGTGCGTTCACAAGCGCTCCAGGTTTTTTTTCCCTCCCACTTTTTACTCTTTCATCATCATCATCTTTCCCTTCCTTAGCCGATATTCACCGGTTATCCCAGCAGACTCCGATATCTCTAGATCAGAGCAGACGCACGCGCACAGAGATGGACACAGAGAGATGGAGAGAGAGAGAGATGCTCCGTCCGTCCCCCTCCGCACCGGCAGGGAGAGAGACAGCATCGGGCCGAACAAAGAGGCAAGCGGGGGCAGACAGACGCAGCGCCCCCTTTCAAATAGGTGATGGAGAGGGAGAGTGGGGGGTGGACTTTATGAGACCATAATCCGATTCCTACATAAACCCCAAACGCTGATCTGGTTTCTGCACACAAAAAAGTAGAATTTACCCCATGAGATTACAGTGACCATCATCTGAACCCCCTCTCTGACAATGATGTGTCTTTTTTATCTATTTCACACATATCCACCAAGAAACACGCCTTTGCTTGGTTAATTTCATAAAGTAAGCACCATTTGCATTTCTTTTTTCTTTTTAGATAATGTGTGTATAAGAAACATTTGGATAAGGCTGAGCAGATTTAAGTGTAACACAGCTGTCACAGATTCATCTCCAAATCTCCCCAAATCTCAGAGCCGCAGCTGTGCTCATGGCAAACCAGCAGCATCATTCATCTTAAGGATAAAACTGTGAGGCTGTCTGACTACAGGTTAGGCTACCAACACTGATTTCTGTCAGTGATAAAGTGAGGAGAAGTGCTGAACGCTTCTCTTTGTTATTCATCAGCTCTGCAGTTTCTCAGATGGTTTTGAATAATGTATCTTTCACCTGTGAGACTGAGATATGAGTTGGTTTAGGAATTTTAACAGACTCATGATCAGTTATGACAAGGGAGAAAAACATTGACTTTTTAAACATGTTTTTATTTTTTAGACTGGAAAAAAATCCAAATCTAGATAAGCATTTTTTTCTCAAAATAAGTGCATTTGTTCTTGGATTGAGGAGGTAAAAGAGACATTTTTATCTTATTTCCCAACTCCAATTAAGGACAAAAACACTTACGTTAAGAGATGTTTACTGATTTCTAGATCGTTTTTTCAGTGTAGAAGGGAGGGATTCAATTGTTAATGTTAACTAAGAAAAAAAAGGCTTTTTGACTCTCCTGACCTTGTGCTGCTCAGTTTGATTGAACAGTGAGGCAGAAATGACACTGGTTCTCTCCTCTTGATAATTGTACAAGCTACCTTTCCCATTTCGTGAGAGCAATGAGAAATGCATATAAAGTAAAACATTACCAGGTAAATGCCAAATGAATCTCAAGGTTTAGATATATCTCAGTGGTTGTGAGGAGAAATGCCTATATAGATTCTAAAGGGATGCATTACAGCTTGGGTTGTGTGTTTTGTAATGAAGTCTTGCAAAAAATAGAATTGCAAACTCAATTGCAAAATGACTGCAGAGCATTACTATTGCTGGAATTCAAATCTCTAATGTAAATTATTTTTTAACATGCATAACTATATATTTGCATTCACACTTAAATATAAATTTTCCTTTTTTGCAGTCTTAGTTTGGTTTTCTTCCAGAATTGCCCTATATTCAGTTCTGCACAACCGCTATGCGTCTCTAAACAGCCTCACTATTGAAGAAAAAGCTTTCCCACATCATGATTCTCCTTTTACCTTGTTTCAAAGTGAGATTTCCTAATGGTTGTAATAATAATACTCTTTAATTGTTGAGGTTTGTCAACCACTTAAAACTCAGAACACAGCTGAGATTTCTGCTTTGAAATTAAAGCAAAAACAAAACACCACTAGTTGAATTATTGGTGCATGATGCAATTACTGTGTGATGTGTAGCAAGATAACAAGGATACCGTACTTATTCTTGTTGCTCTGCCTGTTTCAAAATGGATGCACTATAAGTACATTTGGAAATAAATTGTATTGCTACCTCAATGAGTATCACAATAACTGCAACACATAACATTATGATAAAATTTAAAGACAATATACCCTATTGCACGGTGGTGCGTTGGGTAGCACTGTTGCCTTGCAGTAAGAAGTTTCTGGGTTTGATTCCTGGCCTGGGGTCTTTTTGCATGGAGTATGCATGATCTCCCTGTGCATGGGTGGGTTCTCTCTGGGCACTCCGACTTCCTCCCAGTCAGGTGTGAGTATGTGTGAATGGTTGTTTGTCTCCTTGTTGCTCTGTACCGCACTCCTTGCACATAGACTGCCGGAGATAGGCACAAACACTACTGCGCTCCTGACAAGGACTAAGCAGAAGAAGATGGATGGAAGATGGATAGATAACCACTACCAATTTATTCATGTGCTTGGTGATTTTTTTCTAACAGGACTGATTGCTTCCAAACAGAGAGTTTATTAAAGTTTAATTGGAAGCAGGAATCAGGCATCTCATCATTGTAACCGGCTTTCAGTCTGGGTTTGTTAGGTCAATAAAAAAGCAAAAACAGCAACCTGCAGAAGCAGAATGATTATGTACCAAACTTCAAAATTATAGCCTTTAAAAATTACTTTTATTGTAAAAACAGAAAGCAGATGACAAGAATAAAAATAGAACTTTTCTGATCTTCATTCAAAAAGTAAATATTTATTTGGTCCTATAAGTAAAACATATAGTGAAGCTCAATATTTAACAAGAAATGATTAATTAAATGTTTTCATCTCTATGCTACCATTTTTCCAAAACTGAGCTCCAAGATCAGAAAATTCATCCCTTAAAGTGCTTTAATCACTTTTTATAAAGTTTACTGTTCTGTTGGCTTACGGAACGCCTACTTTACCCCTCGTTAGATCCTAATAAGCTTTAAAAGAAACAAAATCAAACAAGGAAATCAAGGCAGTTTGAGACAACTGAGAAAGATTAACAGCTTCACAAGAGTGTAAACTGGAAGATGGTTTAAATAATTTAGATGTGGTTCACAAACAAACAGACTTTACAGAGAAGAGTTAGCAGAAAAGCGCTCTTATACAGCAATTACAGATGCAAGTCATCACGGGATATGTGTTTACCAGCTCTGCACATGTAGACTGACATTTTTTCATCACTGCCAAACAAACTCAAGCTCCTTCAGAGTGAATGGATCGTGTCTGTAGTCAGCACCTCTCCAATCCTGCTGCACATTTTTTCAATGGATTTAAGCAAAACTGGGCCTATGTAACTCTGTGCACAGTATTTTTGACTGTATGTTTGGAATACATTTGCTGCTGGAAGGTTAATGTGAGCTGGAGACTTCTGTTGTCTCTAAGATCAAGAAATAAACATAGTTGGGATGTTTTCAGCAGGATGAACGATGTCAGTTCACCATCAAACATCAAAGCATGCTGGCCTAAAAGTTTCATTTTCGTACCATTACAGCAAAGCACCTTCCACCTTGCAATGTCCTTTTGCTTAACAGTAATGTGCTATTATGTTGGTTTTTAACATCAAATTACAGTAAGTTAAAGTACTCTTAATATGTTGGGATGTGTAACCAAGAAAAGGAAAACACACGACATGAATATGAAAATATTATTTCTTTTTTCCATTAAGTTTGTGAATGAACAGGTTAGAAGGGAAACAGTTTTTACAGTTCAGATGGAAAATTGATCTTGTGGAACTGAAACCCAGAATAGGTCTTCTGCTCGCAGCGTCTGGAACCTGTAGGAGTTTCATATAACAAGTATTGATTTCTCTTATCAAAGAGTGTAGCCTTACAGTCTGGTGTCCTCTATTGTAAAATGATATAAGCAGCGTCTTAATTGGCTTATATTAGAAGACAAAAGATCACAATGATGTGGATAAATGCCCATTTGGTTGGCTTTGTGTTGGCTGAGTAAATGTGTAATAGAAATCACACAGCAAAAAGGGCACTGCATCTAGTTTTAAAGACCTCACAGCATGGAAACACCTCATTTCTGTTATTCTTTAGTTGATGATAACTGACTAAAATATAAAGGCTCCACAATACAGAAATTTAAAATAAATTAAGACTACATTTTTTGGCTAGTTTAGATTTTTTCGTTGTTGTTTTTTGGCTTAGCTTGAATCATTTAACAAGTATTTTGCTCTAGGCCAAAAGCAGCTCTCCCACAAATCACTATGATGCATTGTCTGGTGGATCTTAGAATAAGAAAGAAAAATAATAAGGTCTGGAAAAATAAGCCTTTTATGGCATTAAACTGTTTTCTCCATACACAACATGGGTATAGTCCCTTCATGCAGCTTGAAGTTCCTCACAAATTTATCAGCTTGCAATGTTTTATAACTGTGCTACAAATATAAGCCAGAATTGTGTGAGCTTTTGATGATGATATTATTAAATAAAATACAGTCCAAGCAGTTCTCTTCAGGCATAAGGGATAAATAAACAATCTGCCTATAAGTACTTTATGCTCTGCATGGAAATAACTGTTAACAGCCTCATTAGACAGGTCAGGGAGAAAATAGTCATTTAAAGCATCATAGGGGGGAGCTTGATCTGTCACTAAAACATTTTAGTGCAAAAACACACATGCTTTAACTGACGAGAGAGGCAAAGAGAAAAGTATTAAGAAAAGCAACCAAGAGGCACAAAGTAAATCAGGAGGAGCTGCAGAGATCTGCTGCTCAGGAGGGAGAATCGGTCTAAGACACCAATATAAGGCAGGGGCAGGAAAACAGAGATAATCAGCAAATGGAGGGTGCCCACCTTCCAGCAACAGATCAATCCTAAAGATACAGTGGGATCAGAAAATTAATTTTCACAGACCACTCCAATCTGGATGAGCTTAGGATATATTGTAAACGAAAATGGCCTAAAATCTCAGCTTCTAGATTACTCCCAAATCTGGCAGCTTTTATGCAGCAAAGTTACTTTGCTAAAAGTATTGAGTTACGGGAGTTGAAAGAAATGAACACAATACTTTTTGGATCTGTATCCACTGGAAAATTGCTCCTTAGTTGGTGTTTGTCTATCACATTGGATCCAAATAATATGAATTCAAGTTACTGATCATATTGAGGTGAAATATGTTGAAAGTTGATAGTCATTGGAATGTTTTTACACAATTCAAATTAACACCAATTCAAAGGGTAAAATCTACACAGACGGGTTCTTGTGGACATGGCTTAGCAGTGCTCTGAAAGTTTCTGCATAAAAGACAGGAGGGGGTGGAAAGAGACCTAAACCTCCTGCTGAATCTCAGATTGCCTCAAAATAGACTGAAGCAGAAGGAGGAAGATA